TTACAAAAAGAAATGCAAGCTAGTAAGTGCAAATCCAATATAAGATATTAACTATATAAATTCTAAAGAACTATGATTACTAAAAACCTATTTAGAAAAACCCAAGTAAAAGAAACTTTTAATTGTATTGCAGAATAGATTTGAAATAAAAACTAGTCTTGGTGAATTGTTTATATAAGAGATCTTTAGATAAAAAGCTTACTAATATAGCTGTTAAAGTTATATTTAAAATCATATGTATATAAAAGGTTGAGAGTTTAGTAGTATTTAAAGCCAGACAAACTAACTTGTTTGAGCTATATGATTTAGAAGAATATTAATCTAAGGAGAAGAGCTATAAAGATAAAAAGAAGTAAATATAAATTTTACAAGAGCAAGTAATATACAACTAGTGTAACTAGACTTACTAGTATATAGATAAAGCTATAGTACAATATTTTTAATACCTAATCTAAAAACATGTGAAACATAGAAAGGTTAAAATAAAGAATAATACTAATTGGAATCTAGAAGGTTATTCTATAAAAGGAAATTGTTATCAACACTAGATATAAAAGTGCTAAGGGTAAACTAAATTTAGATGAGTATAATTAAATAATATAAAACTGTAATTATTAATATATAATAAGACTTATTAACAGTTAACTATATCAAAACATCAATAAACTACTAGTCTCTAGATATTAAAATAAAAAAAACAAATTACATAGAGTTTTAATACAATTTGTTATTAAATTATATTATAATAAATTAATATAATAATAGCATAATTTAATCTTAATATTTCATTTTAATAAAAAAAAATATATATTATAATAAATTTTTAATAATAATAACATTATAAATTATAAACCTTTTAATTGAATTTTAAAAATCTATGTTATTTGGAGGCTGTTTAATAGATAAAAGTTGTTATAATAAGTTTTAAACATATTAAAAATTTAAACTTTCACATATCTCAAATTTTAATATAGCTAAATTGCTTTATTCAATTAAGCAAGTTGGTAACAATTTAAAAGCATATATATCTAGTTAAAAATATCGCTAATCAGTTTAAAATTAGATGTCTAATTTGTATCTTTCAACCTGTATATTGTAGTTACTAAAATAGCAAATACAATAATTTAGTAGAATTTATAACAATTTTAATGCAAATTTAATTTTAGTTGTATACTATAATTATTAGAATAGGTAAGTAAGCTTTATAATAATTTTATAGTAACTCATAATATAAAATATAATAGGTTTAATTTATTTTTATATAAAAATACAATAATTTTAATACAAACTAACATGACTTTAACAATATATTGTAGCTACTAAAATAGTAAATCAATTCTATAACATAATTTTTTATAAACCTAATAATAGAATTATATACTATAGTTACCAAAATAGCAAGTAAGCTTTATATTAGAATAACTTACTATAGAAATAACAATAATATAATACAAATTAACTTGGCTTAAAATATATAAATTTTCTGAAAGAGATAAACAGTTGTTATGGCAGGTCGCATTGGTGAGTCTTAATTAGAATAGAGCGATATACTATTTTGATGTAGTACTTTGTATAATAGTTATATAGTAGTTCAAAAAATAAATAAAGGCAGGACCGCTTAATATAAAAAAAAAATATAGAAATTCTGCTAATTCTAATACAACTAATTTAATCCTAGCTATCTACTATAATAACTAAAATAGCAAAGTCCTATGGCTTATTTAGATTAGAGTTGGCCTGATTTAGACCTAGTGTTGGTCAGGATTATATGTCAGAAAATGATTGTCGGAAAAATGTCTTGTCTAAGAAAAGGATTGTTAAAAAATGTAATGTAAAAAATGTCTTATCAAAAAATGTTCTGTAGATGAAACAGTATGCTCGATTAATTACTGTTTGAAATTCAGATTGTTTCGTAATAATGTAAGGCTGCGAGTGAAATTTAACAATGATCAGATATATTTAGCAGACGATTATTGCGATTTTTATTGATCAAATTTGGTAGATCGTCCCATTATGTGATTGATAAATGATTTCTTAGCCAAAAATTCAATATGAATGCGTTTTTATGCTCACTAAAATTCGGTTTGCAATCGGGCAACAATCATATGATTGTATAGTGGTACCATCGGTTGGGAGAGCAATTGCGGATGTTAATCCATTTTAGCTCCGATGGTTAACTTGCATCTGGATTTATAACACTTGTACTCGTGATATGATGTCACAAAACTCTTAAGCTGAGTCGGGGTTATCACTTAACAGACCAGCCTTTAATTACCGGGGGTAATTTATTATGTAACAATACTATAAGAAATAATAATAAAATAAAGAATAACTAAACTAATAAAACAATTCATAAACTCAATACATGCGGGAAATAGTCTGAGAAAACTTAACTAAGGCGGAAACCCAGGCCTTAAATACATTTTACTTTACTAAGAGCTATTGCGCTATCTTTATCTTACCCTTATATGCATAACAATTGGTCGGTCTTTCTACCGAAGCACAAAACGATTGTGAGCTAAGTGCAAAAGGATGGTTCTAAATATTTACCACAATGATTAATCTTTATCTAATGTTTATCGTATGATGAGAGTAACCAACCACCGGGATAGATCTGTATTTCTAAGCCTTCGGCCATTCTTGTGGCTCGGGTCATTTAAGCGTTTAGTACTACCAAATCACATCTAAGTCACATGTTTAATTCTAAAACCGTACGTATGCAGCGATCTATAAATTTTGCAAATCACAATTATTATTGCTCGTTATCGTTATGTGCCTTCTTACCTTAACAAACAATACATCACGTGAGCAGAATTTTTCGAGCATCATTTTTTTCATTTTTATCTTTTTCATTTTCTTTTCTCCTTTTCTTTTTTCTCTTTCTTTTTTTATTTTTATCTTTATTTTCATTTTTTTTCAAATAATGTCGAGCAGAAAATTCAATAGACAAAGGTTACTAAATACCATCTCATCATGAACAATTCCTGTGACTTATTGTCACATGAAAGTCCAGTGACTCGCAATAATGTACCACTTTGTGACTTCGTTCAGAAGCTGAACCATGTAATTAATACAGTCTACTGTACTCTTTCTATACCGAACCCTCGGTTCTGGCCAAAAAAAAAAAAGTTTGTTATATAGAATTACTATGTTTTCTTAATAGCCATAGCTCTTGTTTTACCGAACTAATATTAAAATTTGAAAAATTTGAGTTCATTATATCCAGAGTTCGTTATAAAGAGGTTCGTTATATCCGGAGTAGACTGTATAGCGTTTCTTTGTCAAATGAGTTTTTTCATAAAAAAAAAAGAGAATGTCGAAACGTGTCAGGAAAATGCAGTGAACCATGCGAAATATAATTAATTTTTGTGTGTCAAAATATTTAGAATTTAATCAGATACTGTAGTTCTATAGCAAATATGAGTAATTTTTTTAATTTGTTACTGCATATTTCATTAAATGCATTAGTGCAAATTAAAATTTGAATGACATTGCTATACATGATAGCAATTATATGTTTTAGCTAAATAATAATTTTATTCATTAATAATAACAAAAGGTTGAGCATTCTTAGATGAATTCTTATAACATTAGCACTAACTTTACTGTATCCAATAACTCTCCCTATATTATAATGATAATACTTTGAGTACAGGTCCGACTAAACTCATTTGAACAGGCTGTGCGAACACAAACTATAGTTATTAAGTAATTAGTTATTTAAAATCGGGAACTCTGATCTATTTAGTATTATTAATTTCCTGGGAGTTTAAAAAATTACAACAGATTTTTGATGACAGATGGTCCGAAGGGTCGTCTACATCATATGATCATCGGAATCTTAGTTGTGATTTTTAACCTTCACAGGAAATTCATGAATAATACCCTGCCTTACGTTGTTCATGCCTATCTATATTATAATTTTCGAGTTATTATTTGTAACCGGAAATCTTCCCATGGAGGATTCCTGGGCATGATATGATCTCATGGGTAGTGTGACCATCGGTTGGGAGAGCAATTACGGATGTTAATCCAATTTAGATCCGATTATTCACTTGACTTGGGATTTATAACACTTATACATGTGTTATGATGTCATGAAGCAACTTAATCAGGGTTGGAGTTATCATTTAGATCAAGCTTTAATTATTCGGGGGATAATTTATTAAGTAACAATAAAATAAGAAATACATAATACAACGTCAATAATAAAACAATAAACTCAAATATAACAACGTGAGAATCCGATTCTTATTATAGCCAATATAAATAAGACATCGTAGGTTCTAAGGAACCTTTACTAAAACGAAAACTCAGGCTTTAAATATATTTCTATTTACTATGAGCTACTGCGCTATCCTTTAACTCTCAGCCTTATTTTCCCAGCAATCAAACGTGGTTGTGAGCAACCAATTTGCTCACAATATTGCTCACAATTACCGGTATTTATACACATATCGATTGCTTCTATCTAATGTTTATAGTATGATGGGAGTAACCAACCACCGGGAATGATCTGTATTTCTAAGCCTTAAGCAGCGACCTAGGAGCTTCACAATATTTTGTAGCAGGGCCATTTGAGCTTTTAATATATCTAAGTCACTGGCTTAAATTTCAAACCGTGACAGTAGGCATGATAATTAATTTTTGCTGAATTTATAAAATATTTCAGCATACCAGAATACTTAATCTATCATTTTACTAGGCATTTGGTATTCAAAATTATTACTATTTATTGATTATATAAAATAAGCACACATTAAAATAACATTTATTATTTAATTATAATAATACATATTTAAATAATTTTTTAAAATTTTAAGTGCTAAACGATTTTAAATATTAAAGAAATGAAAATATTAAGATGTTTAAATAGATATAAATAATTAAAATAAATAAGCTATAACTTTTTTTTAAAAAAAACCGAAAATGTATCTTAATAAACTTATCATACATAAATGTCTTAATTTTAATATTATTTTCAAAAATATTCATATTAATCAACATTGTATTTCCGATTCATTATTTTCAGTAATAACTTTACTTGCATAAACACGAAATATATCAAAGTAAGTATTATACTCCACTAATTCTTTTTTGGAAGTTTCAGTCAATTCATCGTATTCTTCATCAGAAATTTGCAATTTTTTAGTTAAAAAAGGTCTAAGACCAGAATAGGCGGTAATTGTATTATTAAGAATCTGTTGATTTAATACAATATTAAGTATTTTTAATTCTTTTTTTTTTTAAAAAAAAGATTCATTTTGTACAATATATTACCGCTTTACTAAGTTCAACACTATTATAAACTGTACCATAATAGCATTGGTTAACTTCCTTTTTAATATTTTCCAATTGACCTAATACGGAAAATATAAAAATTATCATGATAATTCTATTTACAAAATGACGAAACCATAAATAATAATAAATAATTAGACAAGAGACAAACCTTGATTCCGACAATATTCTTCTAACTTTTTATATAAATCAAAAGTACTACCTTGTTCTTCTAATATTTCGGCTTCTTCATGATAATTGAATAAAAAATTACGTAAGTAAATGTATAAAAAAAATTATAATAGTAATATACACACCACAATCCCATAAACGTTTAGTAACTGGTCCTGAGTTACTAAAATTAGAAGGTTCACATAGCTTAAAAAAAAAAAAGCAGAATGACAAATTATTTAAAATATTAGCAATTATTATTTTTATCAAAATTAAAGTAAACAATACCTCTAAAAATCCACCTGGTTTTAAAACTCTGACCAACTCATTCATTACTTGTGGAAACTTCTCTTTGTTAAGGCCAAATACTAAAAATCGTTGAAATACAAAATCAAAAGTATTGTCATCAAATGGCAATTTTTCGTGAACATCTCCTATAACGAATTCAAAATTTTTAGGTTTTATCATAGTTGGTTGGTGTGGAGATATATCTAATCCAACAACCTTAGCCAACGGATATCTAAGAAAACGTTATAAGGATTAATGATTCTAATAAGATTTAGAACCAAAAACAAAAATGCATAATTATTCTCGGCTATGTCTCAGGCATAGTGTACTTACGTGGTTGCAATATCGAAAGCCCATGAACCTGCGCCACACCTAAAATAGAATATACATAAAATTTTAGTGCAGTGCCAATGTTTTTTTAACATAAATTTTTTTGTTAAATAAAATAATAATAATTTGGAGCCACTTTTAACCAATCAGTTGATGAAATTTTAAATTGGATTTTTTTTTAAATTAAGAAACGTTATAATTCAATTCAAGAATTATGATAAATATATTTATATTTTATAAACATTTGTTGATATTTTTATATGGATTATATTAAATGAAATTAAAGATTTCTATAATGTTCTCATATCGAGAATAATTAATTTCAGTAAACCCTTTATAAATGTCCCCTTTACAAATGTCCCCTTTATAAATGTCCCCTCTATAAGTGCACACACTCTCTAAATGCACACTCAAATTCGGGCCCAAATATATACACGAACTCCATAAATACACTTTTTTTTATTGTTCTCTAAGTGCGTTGTTAATTCAAGAGCTTGCACTTATAGATGTTTTACTGTATCTTAAATAAATTGCCTTACTTACCCAATATCGAGGACTTTGGCACCTGGTTTAGACAATATATGATCAACAGGAGCAGAAAAGTTATTTTGCCAGAGATATCTTAATATGAAATGCTGTGAATGTAATCTATCTGTTTCATTTTCATCATTTGGTAAATGATACATAGCATTTTCCACGTTATGAAATCTTCTACCATTAATGTATCGAAATTCAGTTTGTGTATTTTGAATATCCATAGGCTTGTTTCTTTTATTAAGTTTAGAGAAAGCACGTCCCATGGCGATATTAATATTTAAATTACATCAAAATTTTAAAGAATGTAAGAAAATCGAATTATTTTAAAGAGTGAAAGAAAGTAGTATTTCACTAAAAAAAACAAATTTTTTAAAAAAATAGCGCATAATACTCACAAATTTAAGCAAATATTTATTTTATATAATTGTGTCAACAATTATTTTCTTAAAAAATTATTTGTATGTATCGTACGAGAACAAATTCTTTAACTCGAACAGCTAGATAATTATATATGCATAAATTTCAATTCGTATTACGTAATCGGATATTTTTTTTATTTTTTTTGCCGTATTTGTTGTAATCGGTTTATCAGTTTTTCTCTTAACATATCAACTTTTTAAGACATAGCAACCAATAAAAATGGGAAATGTCCAAGTGTGTGCTGACTTATGCCAAAAATCATTGAAATAATAAAATTTATAAAAACAAAGCCCATTTGAGAATGTGGATAGTACAGTCACAAACAAAGCAAATAATAAGTCAAGATATTAGGTGTACTAGTTAGTAGATTTGGTAAGTATGACATGACAAATTCGTTCTAGTTTGAATTGATAGTTCTAAGCAAATGCAATGAGTTAATCTCTATATTAAAATAGTAATCTCAATATTGCATTATAAGACAAACTAGACTACGGCATGAGCTATATATCAACAAGAATGATATAATATGATTTATTAAAGGGTTAAAATAAATTTAATTTAATTTCTCAAACTACAGTCTTAGCCGCGCGTAAATAGACACCATGCCCTTCGATAAAATTTACTATATACATTTCTTCATCAATATTGTGATCCGGTAAATCATTTAACCAGAATTAGTATATTAATATTAACAAAATGTGTGTGACATAACATTGTTTTTTTAATCTCGCTTAAATTTTCCTTGGTGGTAACACAAAGAAGACTAAGAACGTTAAGAGAAAATAGCAATATAAGAGCTAGTGTAACTAATAAGCAGACAGCAAGCTATTTGATGATACATAATAATAAGAAATAAATATTAAAATGAAAATAATTTACTTTTTCGTGATGTTGTGTCAAATTTTGACACAATTAACTGCGTCAGATCCTGATTGATTTTGCTAAAACTTACGCAAACATTAAACCTATTTAAATAATACAGTTAGACTGTAAATTTTATTTCTATCAGGTTATATGTGAGAAAGTACTGGAATATGTTGTTTAAATCTACCTTATAGAACTAATTAAAAATAGCGGGATGAAATTTTATAATAACCTTCCTAATTTTCTTTTTTGATTTTATATCACTTGTACAAATTTACTTTTATGCATTTTATGTAATATTTATTTACGCAATATATTATCATTGTAAAATGATTAATGCGCGGCTAGTTGCTCACGGAAATACCTATCGTTATTTGTACATACAAGTGATACAAATTTAAAATAGGAAACTTGACATGATAAGGTGATGTAGTCCCACAAACCCAGGAACGGAAGGTAGTATTCGAATCTTTATACAGTAAGGATGAACATGCCTGAGAGGTATAGATTTAGAACTCTAAAAGTACTGTATAAGACAAAAATGCATTAATAAAAAAAAAATTGTATACTTAATTCCGGGTAAAGCAAAACCATATGACAATTAATCAAGGTCGAAATCATGGAAGAATCGATGATCAATGTGCAATTCATAATTTATACAATTTAATAAAATATTCTTTAGAAAAAAAGAAAACAACATATAAAAAGCAAGTGTTATATATAAAGTTTTAATAGAATTATAGAACTTTAAAGCCAATTAAGATCTTTAACCGTCTTCTAATTAAAAAAAGTTACTAACTTTTCAAAAGTAAGTAACTACTAAGCTAGCTTTTTCTAATGGATGAAGGTTAAAGAACTTTTTTGGCTGTGGAGTACTTTAAACCGTAAAAATGGATAATTTGCTATATGAATTGTTTAAAAATAGAAATGCTTTCTGCTATATATTATCGTAATGTAATTATAACCAAAATAAATAAATAAAAGGTTCGATTTGTAATATCGAACCCATACTTTGATTTTTAAACAATAAATCTGAGCCGCATTTGAGCCTTGAGTGTAGAAGATATTGTGGTCATTAAGTGAAGGTGTTGGAAGCCTGCCAACGAAGTTACAGGGCGAACATTATTGCGAAATCAGATGATTTATTCGGTCACATGTTTAAATTTGGTTTACCCTTTATGGCATTTTATTGTTTGTTACGTATCTTTATAACTCAACAAGATTTAGCGATATGTACTGCAGTGAGTTGAGTGTAATTAAATAATTGTATAGGAATTTATTTTTGTAAATAATAGTGTAGGTGAGTTGAGTGAATATAAGGTAAGTTGGGTTTGCAAAGTAATGAATTGAGTAAATAGTGGGTGTTTTTATTAAATTGAGTTTTTATCTTAGATTAATATTGAAGGATGAATTTTAATGTAAGGATCTAAAGTAATATTATAATTAACTACTAGGTTAAAAAGAGTAGTAGTATTATGTAGGAAATGGTATATATATACTTAAGTAGAAAATAGAAATTTACATAAAAAAAATTGTAGAGCTTAGTTATTTGAAGTGAGGTTTTTTAACTAGTTATAAATGAGGTGAGCTATATAAGTTAATAAGAGATAAGAGATTGAAGATGAGTAATAAAGTAAATGTGAAAGCTAAACATTCAAGTTTAATATAGAAATAATTTGTATAAATATAAGTTGAAATATTTTTATTTGTATGAATTTAAGTAAAAAATTTTATATTATTTAGATTATAGCTTTTGAAAATAGGTAAAAAGTTTTAATAAAGACTTACAGGTCAAAAAAGCTTTTATATGGATTTATCTTGTACCGGTTAAATTTAAGTTAAAATGGTGTAAATACTTGTTATAGTCAATAAGAGTAGTGTAAGAATGTTAGGTGAAATGTGAATCAATAGATGAGTTATTAAATAAATATTGGTTTAGTAATTTTTTTAATGAAGGTATTGTTAAGATTAATAAAGATATTTTTATTATTAAAATATTTGTACTTATATATTTGCAAGATTTTGATATTACTGTTAGATTTAGAAGGGTTTGGGTCAAAATCCCGATAAACTTACTATCTCAATAATTGCAGTATATAATTAACGTTGGGTTCGCATTGGAATTATTATGTTTTATGCAGTTAAGGCTGATTTAGTTTGCGTTAGAATTATTATAATTTCTATTATGAGTTACATAAAAATTCTGTTGCAGAACTTTGCTCACTGTTTAGTGACTACGATATGCAGTAAATTCGAGTTAATTTGTATTGAAAAATTATCATGATTTCTATCATGAGGTACTGTAAAAAATTCTGTTATAAAACTTATTCACCTTTCTGGTGATACATAGTATGTAGCTTAAGTTGATTTGCACTGGAATTATGATTTTTCTCATGAGTTACTATGAAAAAAATTGTTATAGATCAGTACTTGATATCCCGGTAACCACAAAATCAATATAGTTCATATTAGAATTGTGATTTGTTTTATGAGTTACTATAAAAAATTCAATTATAAAATAATGCTCGCTATTCCAGCAACCACAAAATGTAATTAATGTTGAGTACATATTGGATTTATTATAACTTTTATGCAGTTAAGGCTGATTTGTTTGCATTAGAAATATTATAATTTTTATTATAAATCATTATAAAATTACGCTACAAAACTTTTAGTGACTGCAGTATGTAGTAAAGTTGAGTTAGTTTTATCAGGATTACCATTGTGGGACCGGAAATTAGTGTAGAAACAGGTCGGGCCGGGCACGAGTTGAGCCCGCACGGGCTATGGGACGACCCAGCCCGGCCCATGGGCATGACCCACGGGCATAACTCATGGGCCAGGAATATTTGATTGGCTAAAAAATAGAGATCATCAAGATTGTAAAAAATTTAAAAACTTTTTTTTTCATTACTGTATTCTACTATAATGATAAACGAAGTCCGCAAATTTATGGACATAACTAAACATATTTATTTGAATTAGAGATTTATACTGCTGCCTAGACAAGCATATAATATTACAACTTTCTTATATGTGAAAACAAAGTATGTCAATTTAATGGACAATAAATATGAATATTAAAAAGCAAACTACATTTAATAAATAGATATCTTGGAGGTCTCTAGGCAAAAAACTCTTTCCGTCTATCACTTGTACACAAATTTTCCCCAGCTCAATTATTTTAAAATATTTTATAACTTTATTTTCTACTAAGTTAACCTTAGTTTTGCTACTAAATAAACTTATTCCTAACTAAAAAATACATAT